ACCCTTAGGGTGTCTTGTTCTTCCTGAATTTGTTTTTTTTTTTTTTGCCCTCTTTTGCCATCCGATAGAAACACTGACCATCTTCCACTCCTCTCCTATATCCAATTAGTCACCAGATCTTCCCTCTCTTAACTTCTGAAGATTTTTCAAATTCACTGCTCTATCTCCATGTCTACCACCATTACCTTACTTCATATCATTGTTATCTTGTAAGCAGTTTATTGCAGCAACCTCCTAACTTGTTTCTCTGCCTTGGTTCTAGCCCCTTCACACTGGAACTGCAGTGACTTTTCAGAGATGCACGTTTGATTCTATCACTTCCTTCAATGTCACCTATTGCCCTGAAGATGAAGTTCAAAATCCTTGGCAGGGGGACTCATGACCCACAGTGTAATGCCTGCTTCTTCCCCAAACTCACTTCTCACCTTCTTTCCTTGCTTCTCACTTCAGCCCCGCTCAGCTCTCACACACTTCCTTGTCCCTCTGTGGGCACTTTTGAATCATACTTTAAAAACTGTCCATTTGTCTTCCCCGTACACCACCAGACCACACAGCCTTAAAGGGCAGGGATTATCCTTACACAAAAAAAAGAACTTGGAAAATTATATACATGAACATATAAGTGAGTTATTTATGTTTGGACTTCACTGCCCTCTGTGGATAACATTTGACATTTATTTAGTACTTACTATGTGCCAGACTATGTAAGACTATGTTTAAGTTCTGTAAACATAAAAACTGAGTTTATTCTGAGGAGTAGGTACCATTAGATCTATACTTTACAAACAAGGAAACTAAGGCACAAAGAGGCAAAGCTACCCACCTAACATCATTCAGCTAATAAGTGGTTGAACACAGATAGGACCTCAGGCAGTCGTGTACTACAATGTTCGCTCTTAACCAATAACCCATTAATGTACTCACAGAGTGTATCGTTGAGTCTTGGCTGTGTGAGAGCCAGGTGGATCAACACTCCATGGGAGGAGACCCATGACAATGAGAGAAGAAAGGTCCCTTGAATCTTAAGCCGGAGACGTGGGGAGGGGGCTCAGCCGGGCAGATGTGTGCTCAGCGCAATGTGTCTGCAAGCACAGACACCATCCGTCACATGCCCTCAGAGAGTCTAGGACAGAGAGTCCATTCAGGAAGGCTTGAGTTGAGCACTTGCTGTTCTGTGTACTGAAAAAAACAAAAGTAGAACCAGACACATATTTTGCAAGATACCCACAATTTAGTGAAACAGACTGCACCATGTGAAGAACTGTGTGCTGCTGCTGCTACTGAGTCACTTCCGTCGTGTCTGACTCTGTGCAACCCCATAGATGGAAGCCCACCAGGCTCCCCGTCCCTGGGACTCTCTAGGCAAGAACTCTGGAGTGGGTTGCCATTTCCTTCTCCAATGCGTGAAAGTGAAAAATGAAAGTGATGTCGTTCAGTCATGTCCAACTCTTAGCGACCCCATAGACTGCAGCCCACCAGGCTCCTCTGTCAATGGGGTTTTCAAGGCAAGAGGACTGGAGTGGGGTGCCATTGCCTTCTCCAGAAGAACTGCATAAGCCACAGCAAACTGTAGTTAACAATGTAATGGAGAGAGGACAGCCCCACTTCTGTTAACTAATTCTTCTCTTCATTTCCCTGAAGGCTTGCCTCATACCAACTAGTACCCTGGTGAGCGTACAATGTGGGGTTGCTAGGTAGAAAAATGCTACGTGAAGCCAATAATAGAAATGTTAAATTCCCACCATCTTGGACTTAGTAAGCCCCAGAAAAATACTTGGAGTACCTAGATTAAGGGAACGTGGAGGGTCCATAGGCCTTTTCTTTTGCTCTTTTCTATGTAGTGGGGCTAAATGAATACCTAGTTCCTGGCTTAAACAGGGCCCTGGCATCTCAAGGTTTTCTGTAGGACATTTGGAAATGATGCTTCTCTAGGCTGAGGTCCGGGCTGCGGAGAGTGATGAGGAGCTATTTCAGAACAGATGTCAACAGAGCCCTTCTCTCCATGCTGAGAATCATCAAACACACGCCCCACGCCTGCCAGGCAGTGACCGAGGCTCAGGCTCCAGAGCACGGAGACAATGAGCCGGCCTCCTGGGGGCTCTCCCACTGCAAACAAATTAGCTCTGATGGACCGGTGGCCTCTGCTCATTCTCGGGAAATGTGGAGGTGGGATCTCAGGCCGGTGTGGAGTTTAATTAAGGATGGCAGCTGGCAGAGCAGGTCAGATGGCTCTGTGCTCTGCACTTCATGTCACAAGTTGTTAGCTGCTTTTTGTTTTTCTCCACATATTCCCATTGCCCTCTTCCTTCCCTTGTGACTGCCCACGTGTTGTTCTCAGTGAGTGGTGTGTGACCTTATCCCTGAGTATGGGGAGACCAGGCAGGACCACGGGCTAGAGGTGGGAAAACTAAACTCTAAGGAGATGATGTAAACCAGTGGGAGACACAGTGCTCCCATAGGAGATACTTCCTCTCCATGCTCACTGTCTCTCTGTAAATGTACCCAATGGTACCAGTAATTAAATTGCAACCATCTTGGGACTTTTATCTATTTTTAAACTTTAAACCTTTAATTTTGTATTGGGGTATAGCCAATCTAGCTTGGGGCTTTTAATATCTGGGGGGGGAAGAAAAGTTTAATTGGAGCCTGCGTAGTATCTGGTATCAGGTTGGAGGATGGTGGTGCCCAAGGAGAATTCCTATCTTTGTCCAAGCAAGCCAGACCAGGAGGGGAGAGAGCTGACTCAGAATCACACAATCTTGTATAAGGACAGAATCTCTAGCACTTGGAGCTGTGAAAGTTTGTGTCTTAAAGAGACTGGACTACACAGGGTTCTTGTCGAAGTGAGCGTGAATGTCGGGGTTATTCAGTTGATTAGCCAAAACTGCACCCCTTAAAGTACCAACTACACCTGCTGACATTCCTGAATAGAAAAAATTCCAAATCACATGCTCTAGTGAAGTGAAGGAAGAAGGAAAAACACCCAAACTCTGGCTTTTTTGGCCTCCTATTCTGGGGACATGAGATCCAGATAGACCAAGAAGTTGTAGGGGGAAAAAAAAAAACTCTGTAAAATCTTGTGAGATGGCATCCTCTTTGGGAAGACTGTCAGACAATATATGTTTATGGCATATGATCTTTATGGAAATGCTTTATCATATTATTGTCTGCCACTTGTAATGATGCGATATGTGCTCTAAAAACACTCCCTGAATGTGAAGCGTTGCCCTGCATCACCAGCTGTCTGCTTGCTCCAGTCCCATACAAATGAGTTAATTACCTGCAGCAGGAACAAACCTTGAAAACAAAGCAAGAAGTGTGTAAAATAAAGGCTGTTGTCTCCTGGTGGTACAATTTCTCCTTGGTTATATCATGTTCATAAAGAGAACTGGGCAGTTTCCTGTAATACCAGAATTCTAGGAAGTCTGGGTTTTTAGGATTTCTGACTGCAGAAACCCTGAATAGAAAAGTATTTAAGTGGCAAGTACTCAAAATGTGAAGTCGCCCATGGGCCAGTAGCCTTTGGGATAGGATCACCCATACTTGGATCAACCTATACTTGGTTGTTGTTTAGTCGCTCAGTTGTTTCTGACTCTTCGTGACTCATGGACTGTACCCCTCCAGGCTCCTCTGTCCATTGGATGTTCTGGGCAGATTACTGGAGGGAGTTGCCATTTCCTTCTCCAGGGGATCTTCCCAATCCAGAGACTGAACCCAGTTCTCCACATGTCCTGCAGTGCAAGCAGATTCTTTACTGCTGAGCCACTGGGGAAGCCCACTCTTGGCTTAGGGGATGTTCAAACTTTACTAAAGGGAAGGAGCGAGCAAGTCTAACAAGAGGGACGTCATTTTTTTTTTTAGGGCATTGAGGTTGAGGAGGAGGAAGAAGGTACAAACACTTGGAAAGTGAGGAGAACTTAAAGATTGGTGATTCCATAATATTTATTTTATAAATGAAAATGATGAAAATCAGAGGGCTTGTCTCTGCTTTAGCAGCAGGTTTGCTTTAGCTTTTAAGTTGAAGGTCCATGAAAGCAACGTTGCCTGTCTGAGTGTTAGACATAGCTGTGGGTGACTTCTGGCCCTCATTCCTGTTACTCTCGTGATGCCAATATCACAGGGGATACAAAGGTTTGGTGTGAAAGGTGAATGTAAGTGGCAGTATTCCCAAGGAAAATGGTGCATCGTGGAACTGGGTAGTGATTTTGTTTGCATGTCTTTGTATCTTTCTGAATACCAAGCACTGTGTCTTACAGAAATATAATACTTAAATATTTTCTGAATGAAATTATTCTAATTGTGGAAAAAATCTGCAGTGTTGTTGTCAGCAGCAGGAATAGAGTTAGATGTATGGATTTGAATCCAACTCATCTAAGTGTAAGCCATCACCTTGGACAGATGACCTATGTTCTCTGTGTCTTAATTTCCTTNGGTATTACCTGAGCAATGATGTAGAATGATTGCTGTAGGGGTGATCAGTTCTTATAGTTCTGGACATTTCTTTGTTCAGGATTAAATGTATGTAGCTCCTTTTACACTGTGGTATCCAAATTTTCTGAACAAGTCCATGGATTCCCTATTTTGGTCACTGTTGTTGAAAGCCATGTTTTGGTCTTGTCTGCTTACAAATTATTATGGATGAGATCCCAGTGACTTTCTTCCTTTGGTCCCACCCAGACATCGGTGTCAGTCAGCCTTCCCTGCTTCAGTAAGGCTGTATGTGTAGTGTTTTCCCCTGTTTGCCTCCAGCCCTCACTCAAGTTGATCCTGACATCTTGGTCACTGTTCCCTTGAGACTTTGGGATTTTCTTCTCTTCCTACTTTAGAATCCAGCTTGAAACTCATCTTAGCATGAACAAGAAAAATCTGCCTTTTGTACTCATCCATCCACCCATCAAATGTTACTTTGATTCATAGGCTCTTTGCCCTTGAGATGTTACTGCATGACTGATCCCCAACTGACGTGAGTGGGTATCCTCATTCTGGTTTTATTTCCACAGTATGTTCCTCCAGATCTCTGCGTCTGCAATTTTGTGCTGGAACAGTCCCTCTCTGTCAGAGCCCTGCAGGAAATGCTTGCCAACACAGGTGAAAATGGTGGCGAAGGGGTGAGTACCTGAATTATGTCCTGGGAAGGGAGGCATTGGGACACACCATAGCCCAAAAGTACACACTTCATTTCATTCCTCCAGTTTTGAACTAGAAAACCTTGGTTTTCCAGTTTCCTTGAATCCATCGTCATATTCCTCTTATTCAGCAGCCCTACTTCCTTTGGGTTAACCAGCTTCCACCAGAAAATAGATTAGATCACCTTAATGCTGCCTGAGCGGGGCATAGGTCATTGATCCCGTAATCCACCAGGATATATGGAGATGCTGAAAGGGCCTTGGGAAGGGGAGGGGTGCGGTATCTGTTAGGCTGACTCTTTTTTTCTTGGAAAAGTCTCATCAGAGATTTATGACTATGCCAATGAAGCACAGCCAGGTTACAGCCATTTGGAGAGGATTTCCTATCGAATTCAGAGTCATTGATATGATCCCAGATCTTTACGGTTTCACTCAAGATGAGCAAATACAGAGCTGTCTTAAGTTTCTATTGTCAGTAAAATTGTTTCCCAGTCTTTAACTGAGGGATAATGGCTTCCCAAAGGTCTCCCAGGTAAGACATTGACCATAGACTTCAGAATAATTTTTGACCCTTTCCCTAATGACTCACCTAGTTACATTCATTTATCATTTCAAATATTCTAATTCCATGAACTGAATATCTCACATGCAGACACCACTCTCCCACGCCCCTTAGATACTGTATTAGATGACTATCCTTTATCTTCTGGGTTATTACATCAGACTCACCACTCTGATTCCTTCTGTGCTTACCTCACCTACTATTTTATTTTCCCTAAGCTGACATAATGCTGTTTACAAAATATAGACCTAATCATTATACTTTACCATTTAAAAATTGTCTTTCTGCCCATTACCGTGAATGAAATCCCATATTCCTTAACTGGGCATAAAGAACTTCAGGATTTGGTGAGTCCTGCTCACCTTGCCTGTCCTGTTTCTCCCCACATCTTCCCAAACACTCAGTGATCCAACCACATTGAATTCTTTTCACTTCCTCAAACATAACCATTCTCCTTGCCTCAGATCATATGTGTCAGCTCTTCCCTCCATTTAGAACAGCTTTCTCCTCCTCTCTCTCTTCCCTTATATGACCTTTACTTCTCTTTCAAAGAACAAGCCTAAATATTAGGTCAACGGAGAAGCCTATAAGTTGACCCTGAAAGTCTAGGATGGGTGCCCTTGCTTGAGCAACACTCAATGAAGAGTCCTTACTACTGTGTGCTATAATTGCAAGTATAATTCTCTACACTCAGTAGTGTGTGTAGGTAGGAATGTTTACAGTACCTAGCACAGTTTATTATTTGACTTGAATGAACTCATATATAATGAAGTGTCTCATTGGTGGTAGAAGAGACAATGTCTGTAGCCCCAAGAGAACCAATATTTACATTTAGGTCATCTTTCAGCTCTTAATGTGATCTTACACAAATCTTTTAATCTCTTGGGACCATAGTGTTCTTATCTATAAAATTAGGAAATGTAATTGATTAATTTGCTAGGGTCCTTAACACCAACATTTGTGATTCTTCACTGTTTTTGTTTAGAATAATATGCTTTCATCAACCACCTGAAAATAGCTTTGTTTTGTTCCTTAGAGCATTAACACAGGTGAGATTTTGTTCTTTTGCAGTTTATCTCCCCCTGACATTGACCTCAGTACCCCCAACCTTTCTGCCTTAGGCACACACCCTCAAACATTTCAACTCAGTGAAATAAATTACTTTTTAATTGCTCACTTTTCCTCCAAGATAATTAACTCATGATTTATAGGCATCTTTGGTGAGGAAGACCTGGTTGATTTGGAATATCACCACTTTCAGTGTCAACCAAGATCAGCTAGACCCTGCCAACATATGGCCCCAGGATAGAAATTGGGAAGATAGAAGCTACGCTAACTGGATAATTATCTCATGGGCATTCCCTTATCTTGTTTGTTCACAAATTGCATTTCAAAGGACTTCTTTGTCTTTACCATCTAATTTGTGGAGTTCAGGGGATCCTGCAGGTGTCAAAGTCAACTGAAAAGTTCTAGTTATAATCCTTGCTCTTCTTTGTTGCCAGGAACTTTAATAATAGTCTTGTCCTGGTTTGTCATTTGAAAAAGAATAAATAATTCATTTTCCATATAGAATAGAAAGACCAGTTTAATAAGATTGAATGCATAGTTTTGGATTATATGTCTAATACCTATAATTACCATCCGTGTTCTAGCAGAAGTTTACTCCATGTAGTTATATATTTCAGGGACCATCTTTAATTTACAGTATTTAAAGACCAATAGGTTAAGTCTTATTGGAGGATCCAGTCTCTTTGAAAACCCCAGTCTAAAATAAGCAATCCATGACATTTTTATGGTTAAATAGTCATTGAATAACAATCACCGTATTGAGTCAGACTCTAGAATTTCCGATGTGCTGTATTGCCATTTTGTGCTATTTTACCAAAGAGAAGAGAGATCTAATAGTTACTTCCCATCCTGATATATTACTTCTATTGTAATTAATAACTGGAGGTCTTAGAAGGAGGAGACTTGAAAAGAGAGCTGAAGCACAGATAGGAGAGGGTACTGCCTTAAAAGATTTAGATTTTATTATTTGTTGGTGGCTCCACTAGTTACCCAAATAGCAGCTTCAGTTGCTAGAACCCTCTTGGAACTCTCTCACAATTCCATCTGGGCTCTCAATCTTTGTTATGAGGAATAATATTTTTCATATAACCTCTTGAGTCTGAATGTTTTGCTTTTCTGAAGTGATTGCTGTGCGCACTTACTATTAGTACTTAATTTGATTTGAAATGATAATATTCAGCAGGGGAGAAAAAGAAAAAAAGAAGAAAAATCAAGAAGGAAGTGAGTAACACAACAGACCGTAATGATTCTCTGGGGAGCCCAGGGATGTTTGAGTGGGTTGACACCTCCTCTGCATGCCAGTCCATTCTGTTTGGAAAGAGACATTTACTGCTTTTAAATGGATATTACTTACACTAATGATCATCACTACCACCAGACGGGATGCTTTGAAGAGTGTCATTTTTCCTCCTGGGCATAAATTGGTCTTTGTGTGTCTGTTCACTGCTGCATAGCAATTGGACTTTTTAAAAATGATATTGGTTATTTGTTTATTCCTATGATGAGCATACAGAAGTCTTTCTGCAGGGATTGGTGGTTCTGCAGCAATTCCTTTCAGTAACAAAGAAAACAGAGGTGTCCACCTTGGTTTCACAACAGAGGGTTTATTATTGAAACATCCTTAGCTATAGCCAGTAGCACCTAGGACTCAACTTTATGTTGAAAAGGAAACTGAATTGTGAGAAGGCCCCAGGGGGCAGAGGATGTCACTGTCCCTCAGAGCCCACCCTCGTAAGCTCATCCTCGGGTCACTTTACTTCTGTTTAAATCCTGTCTGATGTTATTCTGGGGAATATTACCAAGAGATGGATGCTTGGCACTGTGGCCAATTAAATAGCTGGACTTTGATGTAAAATCCCTGCATGCAAATATGATATATTTTTACATTAATGGAACCTACAGTGTATGAGGTCCCCAGCCACCTTCAGCAGGACGGGGAACTAAAAAGGATGTCAGCATCTCCCTCTGAGTCCTCAGTCTTCATCATCCTATAGCAATGAGCCTGAACACAAAACTAGCAGCATGTGCAGTGAGAGAAGCTCCATCTTTGGAGTCAGGTAGACGTAGACGTGTTTTCAGTCCAGGCTGTGCAGGAGCAAGTGACTTCTAGGACAGATCGCTTCCACTTTCTGTACCTGACTTTCCACACCTTCAAAATGCAACCTCCCTCATAGGATCAGGTGAGAATTACGGAAGTGTTGACAAGTGCCAATGGGTGTGGAAGTGAATATTGGTTCCTCTTTTCATCTCTTGGTCTGCTTCCTCCTGTCACAGATCCTTCAGGCATATTCAAATGCCTCAAAGGGAGGAGATTCCCATGCTATATGACCAGCTGCGTGTTAAATCGAGGGCCATATAACTACAAATGAGTTTTGACATGAATGAATATAATGCTTCTAAAAGTGAAAGACCTTGATTAACACAGTGACCAGCCGCACTCCTGATAAGGGCTCCGGTTTTCTCTAAAAGTTGACTTAATCACTGTCGGACTTTTACTACTTAAAAAAAGGGAGATGCAATATATGTAAAAAGAATGAATGTTATGGTTGTATAAGATCATCCTTGACTTCAGATTCTAAAATCTCTAGAATGCAAATACACCGTCAGCCTTTTAAATTTGATTGGGAGCTGTGACCTGGAAAGACACTGTTTCTATAAGAACCTCTCTCACAGATACACTCACTATGAGGGGGTCTTTTAATTCCCTGTATTACTTATGAGGGGAATCAACACTGAATATTCATTGGAAGGACTGAGGCTGAAACTGAAGCTCCAATACTTTGGCCACCTGATGCAAAGAGCTGACTCATTGGAAAAGACCCTGATGCTGGGAAAGATTGAGGGAAGGAGGAGAGGGGCCAACAAGGGTGAGATGGTTGGTTGGCATCCTTGACTGAATGGATGGGAGTTTGAGCAAACTCCAGGAGTTGGTGAAGGACAGGGAAGCTGCAGTTCATGGGATTGCAAAGAGTCAGATACAACTTAGCAGCTGAGCAACACTTAATTATGAGATGGTCCCTTTAGCACTAAGAGGAGCTTCAGACTCCTTTCACTTGCCCCTGTCTATGAGCAGGGCGTACTACATACAGCACAGTTGCTCAAGAAATGCACACGTGTGGTGGCACATTTGTCATGCTCAGAAATGATGTGTACATGTTTTCTGAGAAGCTAGAGCTTGCCTCCTGGCATTGTGTGACCTTGTAAACAGCCAAGGAGGCATAATCTTACATATTGCTGTGTGCACGTAGATTTTATTTAAAGTATGTGTCATGAGATTCTTACCTTGTAGCCAAGTTCAAAGCATTCATCCTTCCTATAAAGTCAGAGAAAATTTAGTCACAGAAAGGTGACA